GGTGTATGAGCCATAGGGCGAGGGCGTGCCGCCCATGACGGCGGCCTCGGGCGCGAGGTAACCCATTGAGGAGAGGAGATGCTTGATGGGCACCGCCGCGCCGCGGCGGCCCCAGTCCGAGCCCGTGTCGTCGTCCGAGTCGTCCGAGTCGGAGTCGGAGTCCTCGGGTGTGTTTAGATAGGTGATGTCTTCGTCGAGGTGCACGAGCTGGCCCATCCACGGAGAGTCGTGCGTCGAGCCAGGCGGCGAGGGCTTCCGTGCCGAACGTGTCGACAGCCGGCGCTCGAGACTGCGCGGGGGTGCGGGTCAATTACGTAGCGTGACTGGAGAGGACGACGCACCCATGCCACGTCGCGTCGGCATCCGGCTTGCCCTTCTCCTCGACCTTGTCCTTCTCGTCCAACAGCACGATGAGGATCTTCTCCTGCCCGCCCTCCTCGACACGCGCCTTCTTCTCCTTCCGGCCCTTGCTCTTCCGGCTGGACCCGCTGCTGCTCGCGCCGCTGCTGTCCGACGCAGTGCGCCCCGGGAGTTGCAGCGTGTGCGTCTCTGCACCACACAAGAATGAGTCAGCCTCCGTACGACCACCGGTAGCGCCCTTTTCACCTTGCGTCGTCCCCTCCGAGTCCGGTACATCAAACGCGACGCCGTCGCGCAACGGTGACCCGCGCGGCGCCTTCGCCTTGGGGGCTTCGACGACGATCGAGTCTAACACAGAGTCAGTCAGAAGTTTACGCGTCACATCGGGAACACGATGTACCACTGCTCGAGGATCTGCAGCATGGGAGACGCGTCAGTATGTGCATGAGGGGAGGCGATGAATCTGAGGTAGCAAAGGAACGGGGAGTGACAGGGAAGGTAATAGGTATACAGTAGCAGCAATCTAGGCGCGCATGGATCCGCTGGGGGAAAGGTAATCCACCTAATCACGCGCGCGGCACGCGGCAGGTAGCTGGACGATACGCGGGTAGATACGGTTTATAGGTAATGCAGCGCGCCTCGGAGAGCAGTATCGAAGGGAACGCGAAGGGACGGAAAGAACAGGCACGCACATGGACATCCTGTCCCCCGGGTTCGTCACCCGCAACGGCACTACAAGGGCGACGCGTCAGCATATGGCGGAAGCGCGAAAACAAGAACAGAAAAGGGAGGATAATGTCCATCATATCGCGGAGTCATAGGTTGATGGGCGCCCAACAATGACCTTCGACCATCTGCCGCGGTGCACGTATGGCAGACTGCGAGAACGGGAAGGCCACGCCGTGGCCTCGTGCCCCGCTCAATCTGCACCATGACGACGAAGGCATGTATTGGCTCTCCTTCAGCCGGTGCGTCCATCCTACTCGGTCGAATGAGCGACGTCACCCACCCTACTTCGTGGAATCATCCTATTTCGTGGAATTGAGGACGACCCCGACAACTGCTGGGAAACCCGGGCGCAGTGTCCGTCGAATCTGGAGAGCAGCATTTCGACGCACATCGAGGCATCTGTAGGGCACCTCGCTGGACAAGCCGTTCGCCACTTCTCCGTGCGCGACACTCTCGCCACAGTCACGATCGCTGCCCAGCGTGACATCGCCACAGCAACACACAGGCCGTCTCTGCGTCTGCGGATGACCAGGATCTACTCCTGCAGGACGCCCGCCGGTCGCACCGCGCACTACGCACCCCACCAGCACGCAGAATCCTCTCGAGACGGAAACCCGACTCTCTCGCCACTCGAAAGACCCAAATCAAGCCGAGAACCAAGCAAAAACACGAACCCCGATTCCCAGCAGGCACCCCACGCACCATCCCAAGCAGCGGCAAACTCGTCACGCTATCGATGCTCCCGCGGTGCGCGCCGAGCGGCGGCCGTGCGCCGTTGAGCGGGAAGGACGAGGGGGGCGGGAGGGGGTCCGAGACGGAGCGCGCCGTCATTGTGGGCGCGGGGGTTCTGTAGGACGAGCGTCAGCAGAAGTACAGTGGAAAGGATAGGAGGAGGAGTATGGAGGAGGGGGGCTGAAGGAGGGGGCAAGGTGAAGGACGCACCCCTCGCGCTCCTCGCGCGCGTACTCGGCGAGTAGGGGCGGGAGCCGTGGTAAAGGTTGTGGGTCGGTCGGGGCGCGGACTACGGGTGGGTGGGTTAGCGGTCGTCCTGGCAGCAGTGAAGGAGGGGAAGAGAGAAAGGAGAAAGCGGGGGCCCGCCGCCGCATGGGCGAAGACGGCCTCGGCGGTCTCCAGCCTGTGAAAACGAGCGGCGAGCAGTATCGCGACATCCCCAGCGCATAGAGAATGCCCTTCTGGGCCTTAACGCCCGGAGCCACAGCACCGCCCTGGCCATACATACATCTACCCCAAGCGTGCGACAGGACCCATCCGTGCAGATTCCCGATGGTACGCCTCGAGCGCCACTTCGAGATACAGCAGCAGCGCGAACAGCAATGTGCGCGCCCACAGCGCGCCCTTAACGCCGACAGGCACGCGCGTCGCCTCCGTAGACGCCTGGGACGTAGGACAGGACGCATACATCCACCACCAGCGTCGTACTTCCACGAAACGCGTCTCGGGACCATCATCTCCGCCCACGGCAACGCGATCAGCACTGCGCACGTCGAGCCAATGCTCTGCCTCGACAGGACACGCGCGTCATCTCAGTGGACGCTGGGAACGACTCGGAGCGCATAGATGCACCCCTTCGCGCATATATCCACCTCAGACGCGAGAAACACGTCCCCACGCTCCACGCCCGCCAGTCAGAACACGCGCAGCGCCCTCGTACACGCTGCGGAGCGTGGATAGAGCGCATATATGGACCCTCGTCGCGCATAGATGCACCCCACCCCCAGAAACGCGCCGGGTCCACACCCCGCGCATCCCTGACGTTGAAGCCAATCCCGCACACGCTCCGGACCGCGGATAGAGCGCATATATACAACCTCCTCGTGCATATCTGCACCCCTACCCCCGAGGAACGCGTCGGACCGCGCAATATCCGTTCCTCGCGAATCCCCGGCAACGACGTCAACACCTTGTACGCTGCGCACCGCAAATCGACCGCATGCACCCCCTCGCGCATCTCCACCCCCACCCGCTAGAAACGCGTCAGATAGTCGAGCATACGTCCACCCCGCCCTCCTCTGCTCCCCACCGAAAGAAATGAATCGAGCAAAAAGATGCACGCACCCAATCTCGGCACCCCCGCTTCTTTCCCTAAAGCGCCCGTCGAAGCCGAGCACTTGAGTGCGCGGCTGGTAAAGTACGTCAGTGTCTCGTCACATACAAAAAACGAAAACGAAAAACGAAAACGAAAATGAAAGCGGGGGAATTGGACGCGAAATACGGACACGACGGGGAGCGCAAAGTGCAAGATAAACGGAGAAAGGATTCACGAACGCACCTCGCCCGCTTCCACTCCCCATCCAGCGTCTCGCGCACGCGACGAAACTCGGCGTCGAGGAATCCGGTACGGCGCGAGAGACCTTTGAGGCGCGTCGTTCTCTGCGGAGGGCGGTCAGCCGTTGTATCTCAAAAAAAATAGATATAATTTTAAAAAACCTACCGTCTTCCCCCGCCAAGACATATAAAAGTCGATAACCTTGCGCCCCGCGCCGCCCGCAGCGCTGCGCGGGAACGCGAACACCACCGGCGGGAGCGTGCGTGCGTTGGCCTTGGGCATCGCGTGCCCGTCGCTCGTGCCCTCGTCTTTCTTCTCCTCTTCCTCCGGCTCCTTGTCCGCTTCTGTCTCGGCCGCTTGTTCCCTGCGTCATTCAGTCAGCTCCGAGAAGAGATAACTGAGAGAATAAAGGGTAGCGCACCTAACGAACTTCCTTGCGAACCGCCGCGCGTCCACGCCGCTGATCACGTCAAACGACGCCCCATCGTCGTCGTCGTGTTTGCTCCTGCCACTGAGGATCGACGCGGGCTTCGCGAACGCGCGCAGGAACTCGGGCCCGTACGCCGCTGCGGCCGAAGACGATGTGCCCTCCCTGGCGTTCCCCTTGTCCTTCCCGCTCCCGTGCCCATTCGAATGCGAGTCCCTATCCCTCTCCTTCGGCGTATCTTTCTCGCTCCTATGCTCTCCCTCCCGATCCCGCTCCTTCCTGTCCCTCGACCTCGACCTCTTCCGTTTCTCCGCGTCCTTGACCATGCAATTCGTCCGTTCGTTCGTGTAAGGTCGTCAGGTAGCCTCCAAGCGTGAATCCAAGTCAAGCGAGTAGCGCAGCACCCAAACTAAGTAGCTTCAAGACCGCCAAGTCCGCTTCAAGTCCACTTCGCTGTAGATGCGCAGGACAAGACCACAAGAGCACAAGAGCGTAAAGGAAACCGGAAACAGAACAAAGATGCTTGGAGTGGCCACAGCTACCGAGTGGCCTTGTCGGAATCATGATGTCCGTCGCCAGCCGTCTGCGTAACAGACAACGACAAACCAGGCATGCGCGCCATCACTCCGCATCGGGCAATTCCGACCCGAATTGCCGTTTTCAACCATCGGAAATGAACTCGACGGCCGTAAGGGTTGCGACTAGAGCTGTTTAGAGCTGTTTCAGACGAAGTTACACCGAGACGGGACGCCCGTACTAAGCGTAGCTTGCGCGGGGTTCCGAAGGGGTTCGGGATTTCGTCATGATCTGTCGAGGTTGTTGTTGGGGATTTTCAGATCCGCCGACTTGGTGATGCGATGCTGTGATACGCGTCTACTGCGGGGATGAAATCGGATGTTGTGGTGAACTCACTGGTAATATATGTTGAAGTCGTGCAGTTCCGGGTTCGACTCCCCGCATCCGAATAGTAGCAACAGTTCAAGGTTCTTTTTTTCTCGTTTTTTGCTTGCTGCATCTCTAACGCCTAGCCAAAATTTTAGCTCACCTACCCACATACTTACCGCATATGGCCAATGAATCGGACGTGGTGTACAGAACACCGCGAGTATCGTTGCCAAAATAACTCGTAGTTCGGGGTTCGTGCGAAATCCGAATTCGTTTCCGATTTTCTCTGAGTTAAGTGAGGTTTTCAATTAATCGGACGTGGTGTACGGTACACCGCGCAGTATTAGATGGGCCAGATTTATAATCTTTAGCCGCTCGCAGTCCGGGGTTCGACTCCCCGCGTCCGAATGCACCGTCGACCATCTCATTTTGGTGACCGAGCGAATTTAAAGTGTCATTTAACTAGGTTACAAGGGAACAGCTACTCGGATGTGGTGTAATACGGAACATCGTGAGCATTGTTAAAATTTGTCCATGACAGGTAGCTCGCAGTTCGGGGTTCGACTCCCCGCATCCGAATCATCGCCTTCATCGACCCTTTTTGTGTGGGAGCGCCCCAGTTACCTTGCTGTGCCATCTAACAAGGGATTAAAGAGGTGAATTAATCGGACGTGGTGTACGGTACACAGTGAGGGTTTTTAGGTTGCACGAAGCAATTGTGGCTCGCAATCCGGGGCTCAACTCCCCGCGTACGAGTAGGGCGTTATTCCCTCGTTTTTTTCATCGGTTAAGCTGTACACATATTTCCTCTGAGTTCATCGAAGACTTTGTGGGGGAAGTAATGAGATGTTGTGTACGGAACACTGTGAGGGTCGTTGATAGGAATAAAGAGAAATGGAAACTAGCAGTCGGGGGTTCGACTCCCCCTATGCGATTGGCCAGTTCCCCCGCGTTTTTTCACGGGTTGAACTGTACATATATTTTCCCCGATTTTACCGGGTACCTCGCCTGGTGAATAATCGGACGTAGTGCACAGCAATACAACGAAAATTCTTGTTTAAACCAATGCATGGTAACTCGTAGTCTGGGCTCGACTCCCCGCGCCCGAATGTTACGAGAATATTGATCGCTTCTTCTTGCATTACTGAAATCCAGCTAATTTCCTCCTTATTTTATTGTGAAGCCCACGGGGGAATTAATTGGACGTGGTGTACGGAACATCGCGAACATTCTTACGAATGAATTATCGCCGCAGTTATATTGCAGCTTACAGTCCGACGGGGTAAAACTCCCCCCGTCCGAATGGTGTACTTTTTGGGTCCGTCAAGCTGTGCGCTGATTTTTCCTGAGTTCATCTTTGATTCTAGCTAATTGAGAAATGATAGACACCTTCGAATTTCAGAGCAAAGTTCGGGCCGAACTCGAAACTTGAGGACTTGTGAGTTACCTAGTAGCCATGCTCCACCCGACAGGCAACATTCGGTGCTCATGCAGTTCGAAATCACTCGGCCCGACCTCTTCTCGCAAATCCAAAGATGTCTATCGTTTTTCACTTAGCTGTCGACAGATGAATTAGCTGGATTTAGTGTACGGAACGCCGCGAGTTAACCTCCTTTTTTTGGTCAGCTTTGACGCTGAGACTTTCGAGATATCGTCGACAGTTGCCCAGGGTCGGAACATACTCACAAAAAATAATTGGATGTAGTGTACGGAACACTGCAGGCCCCCATTGTGCTCTCTCATATCTCGCAGTCCGGGGTTCGAATCCCCGAACCCGATTCGCTTCAAACAGGTATAGACAAACACATCCTTCCCGCAGTCCTTATCACATCACTTCCTGTCCACCGATCAATTAATTCCCTGTAGACATTAGAGGATCAGCCAAGTTACACACCAAAACTGGCCAATCACATCAGACAAAGAGTCTCTGTTCCAACCCGGACTTTCCCGAGAGTCAGCAGCTCACACAGCTCAAAGGCAAAAGGTGGCAGGGCCCCTCGGACTCGTAGTCCCTCAGGAATGCCGCCTTTTTAACAACACGGGTGCCTCGTGTCGAGCCCGTGCTGATCAGATGAAGGGCATCTGTCGCGATTTGACATATTCTATCCGTTTTCCTAGGGAAAGGATAAGCTAGGGTCCCGAGACAACTAGTAACTTGCCGTAACAACAACCACAATGCTAAGCAATGATCCACTTCCGTCGAGCTGGGGTCATGCTCAAACCAGAATTCGGGGGGCAGGTCAAATGGCACCAGCGACCTCAGAAGATTGGTCGGATCGGCAACTCTGCTGGGGAGATCTGAATCCATTCCTGTACAGGAAATGTCCGCCACCCCTTGCGTGATGCGATCGAGAGCATAAAATGCCGTGGTTCGAACTGCCTCATGGTCGTGCCTGAGCAGTCTCATTGAATGTTAGGTACACAAGTGCTTCACGAAAACGCATACCGTCGAGGGCCATGAGTAGTCTCAGAGACTGATGCGTAGCCAAGTGGCCCAGCATCAAGCATGTGTTGGTCAGAACAGCGGTACTTTCCGACATGAGCAGTTCAGTAACGTGGAGGAGGGCATTCGCGTCAACAACAGCCCTCGCGCCGCCGAACGAGACGGAACTTATTTCGGCTAGCGCACAGACGGTGTTCTGCCGGACTAGGTGGGTACCTCGAAGAAATGTTTCCGATAGGACAGCCAGATAACCTTTCCGAGTAACATCGATCGCGGGAGAAGAACCCTCTAAAAGAGAGACGATCAGGCCAAACGGGGCCAACGATGCAACGTGGTCGCAGAGAGATCTATCGCGGCTGAGTCGCCCGATCATCCAGCAAGCCGCGCTTTGAAGTATATGGTTGCCAGATTCCATCATCTCCGCCACGTGACTCAAAAAGCCCGCTGCCACAACGGCGCGAGCTCCCCTCGTTGAACATCCGCTGATTCGAGCAAGGGTGGATGCCGCTAGTTCTTGGATGAGGATCGGATGTTCTGGACTGGATTATGACGCCGATTGGGACACTTACTCTGGAGTAGCGAGCAGAATACACTCACCACAAGAGGGAAACCACCCTAGGGCACGATTTGTGCTCAATGACTTTTTCGATACAGCAATCGTAATATGCGATGTGGTTAAACATCACCATCGTCTTTTCAAGAACATTTGGATCGGGCGATCGCAGAAGTTCGAGCGCGTGTAGCAGGATGCCGTTGTCCACCAGGGCTCGCGCGTCCACCTCCGATGAAGCTACCCTGCGATGTAGGTCGTTTAGTATCTTTAGTTTTGTGTAAGACGCCACATATTTGTAGCTGCAACAGTAGTCAAGATATCAAAGACACAATCAAGTGCAACGACACAGACTGCAAATATGTCGCCAAGACATCGAGAATTTCCTTCGACAGCGGCGAGCAGCTCCGCACCCTCTTGAGGCGGCGTGAGGCAGCGAGATGATACAATGCTCCCATTAACGGCTTGGAGAGCGCGTGGAGAGGAATGGTCGAGCTCGGCTGATGGTTGCGATCCGACCACCAGCTCTCCAGGCTCCCGCGGTGTGGTGGATCCATGGGGGATGGATCGGCCATCCCCTTCAGCCCAATATTCGCAAGACTAGACCAAGTAAGACGAGGATCGTGGTGGTGCAGAAAAAGCGGGGCTGGAAGCTGTGGCGGCTGCACGTGTTTTGATGCTTATTCTGAAACTGCGCATCGGACCGGTACCCTAAAACAACAACCATGTCAGAAATATGTAGATACGGCTGGCAAATACAAGGAAGAGGAAAAAAAAGAAAGTACAGGAAGAAAGAATGAAGAGAATCGGTATATTGGAAGTAGGAAGAAGCCGGTCTATGGTCTACTAGCAGTCTCCGGCGCGAATCAACGGTCGACCGCGTACAAGCGACACGTCCCCAGCAAATACATAACTCTATCAACCACACACACTGCGCGCCGAGTCATGCACGCGCCCCCCGCGTGCAGAAACGCGTCAACACAAATGAGGATGGTCTCGACGTGCCGGGGATGTATGTACCCGACACCATCAAGCGCACGTCGCCGGCATAGCACACTGTGCCACGCCTGCATACACCCACCGCATGGCGGGTATTCATTCCCCGGGCATCCACCCAGCGTACATCCAGGCGGTGCACCCCTGCATACACCGTACCACGGCACCCTCCGTGTTCACACCCAGCGTATATATCCGCCAGGCACGCAGCTGCATATCCAACCTCGCAAAAGCAGGGATCAAATGCGCGCTGCCCGCGGCGCAGTCCGGCACCAATACGCAGCGAATTGCGGACAGGTGAGCGCACCTACCAGTGCACATGCATCCCGACATCGCGTCAGGACACGCGCCGAGTAGCCCACCGGAGGTACACGGACGTCGGACACTCGCCCCGGCCGCCAAACTCGATGGCAACACACGGCAGAGCCCGTATCCCACCCGCAGCGTCACGGCGAATACAGACACGCGCAAATGCGCGCATCCATAGCCGGCGCCCGCTGGCAGCACGAAACGCACCACGGCGCCCGCAACACGCTCTCCGCGCCGTAAGTTCGCACCACCGCGGCGGACAGACGCGCGTGCTCGCACACCCGACGCCGGCTCGAGCCGGGGTGCGCGCGTGCACAGCATTCGATGCCGACCCGACACACGTCCCCGCACCTGCGCCTCGTCGCCCGCCGAAATCCCTCCCGAAATCTGCGAAGATAAAAGAAGCACGCAGCTGTGACGCGTGGATTCGCTGAACGCACGGCTGGGGGTGGTGGGTTAGTGCTTCATACGAGAGAAGGGGAACAACGCCCCTCGGGTAATGCCACCCAGTGGATGGGGGCGGGAGTAATTTCGGGAACGCAGCACGGCGGAGGGAGGCTGTGGACGCCAGGAGTGTTCTGTAAGTGGGTTCGTCAGCGCGATGCACATGAAATCGAGCTGCGAAAAGGAAAGGGGATACTAAAAGAAAAGAACACCGAATATAAATGTGTTCCCCGCATATCCACCGCGTAGGAAGCGAATCAGAGCGTCGAGACCAAGTTGATTTGTCGTCGTTGGCTTTCTGTGAATCCCAGAATCTGTGCCACCGAGGGATGGTCACGAGCTTTGCGAACGCCCCCAGGACTTCCGGCTTTACGCCGCCAACCCTGCCTGCTTTGGTCTCCCGAGTTCCCCCTCACTCCAAGTTTTGCTCCTCAAATTCCTGTGATCAATATGTGCGGGCTTGGTGCGGGCTTGGTGCGGGCTTCAAGGCTTGATGCGAGCAGTCTGCTCGAACATTCGAGTCTTGAGGTGCGAGTGAGCATTGAGATAGGCGCGTGGTCAAGGAGGGGGATTGCATCGAGAGCGCCCAGGGAAGAGAGCTCTGCTGTGGCGCAAGTACTACTACTACATATGTATAGGCAATGAAGGTGGAAAAGCAACATGGCC